GGTTTTTTCCCACCTGCTGAGTGACAGGTGGAGCCAAACTTTCACTGGAGTTAGAGAACAGCTTAGCTGACCAGCCAGGCAATGTTTGCTTTAGGGTGAGCTGAACAGCTTTCTCACTTGGGTGCTATAATTAGACTATGGATATCTAGTTTAAGTGTAGGCACCTGAATTTCAGACTCAATGGGAACTGAATGAGCCTTTGCTTTTGCAAAGTACTGTGCAACACCAGTGAATGGCAAGTTATGTAACATTGAAAGAGGTATCTGAGAGCATCTATCAAACTTTTCTTAAATAACCCACTCTTCTTAGTTTGACAGGGTTTTTCTCTATTCTACCAAAGTTAAAACTCCTTTAAAATAAAACCAAACCAAGCAAAATAAATCCCTCAAAATCAAACCAAACCAAAAATACCTGCAACCACATTTTTAAATCTTCATTTTTAAGACTTAAGTCCTTGCGTTGGAAGTCTTTGGTCTCTGCTCTCCTTGCAATACTTGTTGTCAGTAAGTTGTCTTCATTTCAGCTGTTTCTATTCTATACAGCCTCACAAAGGTGCTGCTGAAGCCTGGCTCAAGCATTGCAAAAAAAATAGAGCCTCTGAGGTGAGAAAAGCCAAGGCATCCAGCACACCTCCCACTACTTCTATTCCTGTACTCCCGCCTAGAACACTTGTGATGTTGCAAAACTTTTAAATGCCTCATGAGAGTTACTAGGAAGGCAGCCGTGTGGAGAACACTGAGGTGGCTTTATGTATTTTCTGGACGACTGATTTTAGTATAAAGGAAAACATTTCTTAAAGAATGTTCTGTGAATAAAAGTGTTGTACAATGCTTTGTGTTGAAAGCAAGGAGGGATATCTCTCGCATGACTCTTAACAAGGGATACATAACTATAAAGTTTGCAGGTGTAATTAAAATGTATGTAGAGCATGGATCAGATTTAATCTTTTCTCATAGCTGCAAGTAGTGCTTGTAGTACAGACAGATGTCTCATCTCTGCTGTGTTCACACAGAAGTGAGAGGTTTACATTAACATACATGTTTTGTGATGTTTGAATTCTTTGCTTATAAACTCTTAAGGCCTCCTCCAGCAAAGCTGGAGCAGTTAGAGGAGAGTTAGGGACTCCTAACACACACTGAAAACTTAGAGACACAAAAAATGATGCTTTAATCTTTTAAAGAAATAAATAAACTCTACACAGAATCATTCTTACAGTGAAATGATGCTTAGTTTGAGGGGCTCAGCTGCTGTTGAAGCTAAAAAAAAGGGACCGTGCCTTAGATGAAGGCAATTAGAAATTCCACATCCTAGCTTTGCCAGTTCATGTTAAACAGCAAAGCAGTCTAAAGGGATATTGCATACCAAAAGTATTTGAGTCAAATGCTGTTAATCTATTTTTCTTCTGTACAGATCTCAAAACAATGAGTGAGCGACTCAAGAATAGGTACTACGTGTCTAAGAAATTATTCATGGCTGACTTGCAGCGAGTCTTTACAAATTGCAGAGAGTACAACCCCCCTGAGAGCGAATACTACAAATGTGCCAATATACTGGAGAAATTCTTCTACACAAAAATTAAAGAAGCTGGATTAATTGACAAGTGACACTGTCTTTTCTACAACCACATAGTGTGCCTACTTTATGGGCAGGGGAAGCTGTTCTATATCTGCGTTGTGGGACTCAAAGGTTTCAAGAAACTTCTGTTTAATACTTAGCACTTTTAAAAACCATCTTAGTTTTGCAAACATGTATTATAACGAAATTACGAAATTATTTTATTAAAATGCTTTATAATGTATTTAATTACAGAAAATTTCTTTTGTGTGTCGATTACTGTATGTTCATAATAAGTTTATCAGTGACAGCCTCTGAAACCCCACAAAACATGTGGGAAATTGCACATGTTTGGGAATATGAAGAAAATTCCCAGACAACAGATGTTATAGCTTACCTAATGCAGTACCTATTTGATAAAGTTTTTTGGTTTTTTCAGTAAAAAAAGAAAATAGGGAAAACAACAGTTTGGGGGGCTCTGAAACACTTGTTTCTTTATAGAATCTTTTTATAAGATATTATTTTTTAAAAGAAAAAGCTGGTTGAGAAGCTGTGAGAGAAGAAGAGCCAGTTTTGGAAAAGGACTTCCTGTAAGCTTTGATAGATGCAAGTTTTTCTATTAATTTGGGATTTTGATAAACATTTTACCTGTAAATTGTAATCTCATAACCACTATTAAAAACAAACAAAAAAATCTGGCTAGGTGTGTAATGTCATAGTGACTTGGCTTATGCAGGACATAAGTATCCAAAAGAACTTCAGAGAATCCAATTCGCATGTGCTAGTCAATGTCAGTTGCCTTAGTGGAGTTAAGATTTTGCTGCACTTCATGACCCACCCTATTTACTGCTCTTCACTGATAAATTCTTTGGGTTATTTAGCAGAGATAAGACTATTGAAAGAAGTCAACATATGACAGCTTCTAGCTCATATACTTGGCTCTGTGGTAAACTGGATTTTCTACCAGGCTGTATTGTAAATGCTTATTAAACGTGATTATTTAGACCCAGGAACATATTAACATTTTACAACTCATGTTAGTATATCTTCAAAATAAGCACTTACATATATACTTTGCTGCTTACACTACATTTAAGAGGTACACCTAACTTCCTACTGGAGATCAGTACAGGCCAAAAAGCTGTCACTTGACATTTTCTAATTAGAGTTTGTAACTGTAAATTATAATTGCTTTTGTGAAAAACAGATCCAACTTTTGTTCTTGCTGTTTTATATTTACAGACGTTACACTGGTAAAATTCAATAGTTGTAAGACTGAATAAAACCCAGTCCTATGCTGTGTCAAAGAATATATTCCTGCAAAATGCCTGTGCAATGTTAAATCACAACTTGATTCTGAAAATAGATGTCAGGAGCAGCCTGGAAGTAGTAAATGTGGTACACAAGGTATTCAGAATGTTAACACTAGATTTACCATAGTGTTTTGTATGAGATTAGTCTGACCTGCATTTGGATCTATAACAAAGGTACAGTGAGCATTGTTTTTCTTTTAATAGCCAGTACTGAATGCTGTAATCCTGTTTTGTAGATAGGGCCTACAGATGCACCTGTTAAGCTTGGTATCCTGTGAACTTTTGTTATTTTCAGAGTAGATTTTCTTATTGTCTTTCAATCAGATTGTCTCTTCTATATTGAAACATTTGTTTTCTAATTTAAGAATTAATATTTTCATAGATACTGTGCAATAAAGTTACATTAGGATATGTGGTTTTGCAAATGCTTTAAGCTGATGAACTTTACATTTGTAAAATTAATATATTGTACTGGTACAGAATAGTTTTAAATTATATATGTACAAACCCCTACTTATTTTGGTCTTTTTTCATTACTTAGTTCTGGCACTGCAACTATACATACTGTTAAGCAGAGCTGAGACTTCAGCATGGAGAGCTGTGCCTACTCCAGCTAGCATTCCCATCTCTCTGCTAACTCAGCGAGGTGTTGTTACTCCTATCTCCTCAATATCTCAAACAACTCTTTGAGCTGTTCAGGACTTGATTTTTAACCTCAACATGTGCTCGTGCTGTTTTCTCATGTTTGTCTACTAGAGTCCTTCCTTTATTTACAAACCAGTTTACAGGGGAGCACACTGCAGGCTATGAGGAGTACTTACGTATGTTCACCATGTTACTCAGATGGTACACTTCTTTTGCATATCCTGAACAAACAAACAAACAAACAAACCTGTATGTGTCTAACACCTAGCAGACAATTAGACCATATTAAGATTTATTTCCTCCCCCATCCACTAAAATTTAGTCCTGTGCCACATCATGTAAAAGTGTACACTTTTCAGAGGGTAGCAAACAGTGGTCTGAAGAGGCTTAGACATTTTTCTGGAGCCTTCTAAGAAGCAGTTCAGACTATTCAAGACTTCGCCGGCAGCTGCAATGGAACTGCAATTCTTCAAGCTTAATTCAAAAATAAACCCCTAAGCCAGATGTACCTCACCACTGCATGAGGCTGCTCTGCTGTAGCTGTTATAAATTCAGTTGCTGGAAGTAAACAGCACCTAAAGCTAAACGACAGCCCAAGTTCCTGTAGTACTAAGAAGTATGGTAACACCCAGAGCTAGAATTTTAGGATGCAAATGGAAGGTTAAGTTTCAATTTCAACATCTAAGGGCTGGTATTGTGAACAAGTATTTTGCAAGCACCCCGTAGCTGAAGCTTTTGTTATGAAGTCCCGTAAAACCAATTTACACTCAACCAAAGTAGAGCACTGTTCACCGACCTTCACTGATGACCAGATAGGGACAAAGTTAGTAACTCTTTTAAACAGCAGTACCAAGCAACCCTAAATTGTTACTTAAGAGAGCTCCCGCTACGTAATCGGATTTCAACTGACAAAGCTTATGGGGAAGGAGCGCGCTAGTTTGCAGCATGCCTGTGCTATACAGTGCTATGTTTGAAGCAAATACAGAAATTGCTAGAATACCAGCCATCGCAGATGTGTTTACAATGACCAAAACATTTATTAGAAACTTCAATATGAAACTACAACCATTACAAGAAGAGCTGTACAAATATTGTTATAAACATACACAAAAAAAAAAAACAACGAAAACCAACAAACAACAAAAACCCCAAACCCCAAAACACTAAACCATTTGATCTTAAGTGTCCAAACAAGCAGGGTATAAGTTACAAAATTATAACATAAGAGTTATAAATTTACATTAGAAAATGCCTTCTCGCAAAAGGGTTTGAATGGAATCACCTTAGTTACAAAGGTAGCCTTGTGTCTTCTAGATCATGAAAGTCACTGGATTGAAACCAGCCCCCCCTTAATTTTATATCCTTAGCATTAAGACACATAGAAATAATGGCATATTTATGAAAAATATTGTGCAACAATAATTTCCTGGATATTTCCTTTCTTCATGGAACCAGCATGGTTTTGCTGTTGTGACTGGAAATATCAATGACGGCCAACAAATTTCTCACTGTATTTTGACAAGAGATGTTTTCCTAAGAGAAGGGCGCTTGGCGTTATTTTTCTGCTTGAAAACTGGAGAAGTCAGGAAATTTGTGTCTGTGAATGGATCCCCTCTTCTAAGTTTCCTAAAAAAAAAAGAAAAAGAAAAAATTGAGTTTTGTTCCAAACATCACTTAACACTCATGAACTATTTCATCTTACTAACATCAGACCTCTCTTTGAATGTTTTCTTAAGAATTTCTTTCTAATATTTAGACTCCCCCCTCAAATCCTCCATTTGATGGAATGTTATGAACTTTATATCAAGCTGGAAAGTAAGACACCTACCCTGCAATACTTGGTTCTTTATAGCACACAGTAACAGTACAGTTTCGCTTGCGTTTTGGAGATCGTGGTCCTTCACCTTCTGGGACAACAGCTGCATTCCCAGTGCTGGCGAGCAGTGAAGTGGTATTGGTAACATCACAAAGATGACCATGAGATGGCTCTGAAGGCTGCCCTGGGATGAAATTAGGCACACTTACAACAATTCAGGCAAGCTAGCTTAAAAGAGAACATCAGTGAATACACTAGATGTGAAGCAACTTTCAGCTGTAACTATTATCTTCACATTGTACTTAAAAATACGTAAGAGGATCAACAAATTCAGGATTTTAGTTTGGAAAAATAAGTTAACGCTAGGCAGTGCCCAGCCAAAGTGTGATTTGTTGTTCCACTTATTTTATATTTTGCTCTCCTCCTTTGTCCTCAGCTTTAGTACATCATTAAGCACATCTAAAATACAGTATTGATTATTGTTGACCTGGCTTATACAAGACATGTCTTTGATTCCAATCTGCCGAGGAAATAAAAAGCTAAATAATTAATCTAGTGATTTCTGTAACATTAATCTGTTGGTATTTATTTAAAAAAAAAAAAATCCAAAATAAAAAAAGTCTAAATCCCTTACAGAATGTTATCTCTCAAGAAAACAAAACCAATTATAGAACACTTTCTATACTTACGAATAGACTTGTCACTTGACTTACTGCTTTCAGTCTCTTTTTCATTACGGAGTTTCTGCTCATGTTGTGCCAAACATCTTTTAGACCTTGGCCTTGCACGTACTGGTGATATACCTATCTTGTCCACTGAACTTCTCCTTCTTTTTGATTTACCCTTGTAAGGCTCATAGAGGCTGTCATCTGAATCTTCTTCAATATCACTTGACTCGATGATATAGGTTTTCGATAAGTCATTTTCGTCATCCACACCAGTATCTGTGTCATTCACACCAGTATCTGTGTCATTCAACTTATTTTGTCGAAAAGGTGTAAGATGGACACTCTCTTCCAAATGAAAGTCATAAGCATCACTGAAGCCACCCAAGAAATCCAACTTTTTCTTGGAAGTCCCTTTACCCTGTCTTTGTTTTGGTGTTCGTCTGGAAGTTTTAGGTTTTTCCAGTTTTGCCTTCTCTTGCTTCTCTTTCCTAACTTGAGAGTCTTCTCTGTTTTTACACTCATGTCGTTTAAGATCAGAATTATTGTTTAAGTGGGACTGTGCAGTTTCAGAATCTGTCCTCAACACCAGCTCTGAACCTACCTCATTTTCATTCAACTGAGAAATACCTAAATTTCCGTTTTCTATACTACACATCTTTAGACTTTCCTCAAGTCTAACTTCATCCAGTTCAGAAAGCTTTTTTGTTGAAGCAGGCGATACTGAATGGTTCAATACACCAGTATAATGTTTGTTGTAATTTCTCAACTTCAAGGAGCAATTCCTAATAGACCCATCTTTTGGTAAGAGATTACCAAGTCCATCCTCTCTGCTTGAAGAAGTATTTTCCAGCTCTGATTCTATGACGTCCAGATTAAAATCAGACGTTTGTCCTTACAATTGAAGAGAAAGGGTCATGTTAAAGCTAAAGAGTAGCAACCTGTTAAGGTTTTGTGCAAGTTCTGAACATGTCAGATATTAAGACTATTCTTAGAATTTTCCCCATAGATATGTACAAACCAATCAAGGAAGTTCTGTTTAATACAGCTTCCAGACAGGAAGCAGTTAAGTATACTATGTTAGGATTTTCCTCTAAACTGTTCCATTTGGAAAGGTTATCTATGGGTCATTTATTTTCTGTTTTGCTTTGTTAACAGTTGTTGATTTCGTAAATGACACTAAATGACTAAAGATGACTTTACTCTGTTGAACTGTTTGGTAGATAATGAAACTATATTGCAGGTATATAGAAGACAAAACATTTTCAATTCTCCCCGCCCATTTTACTAGGCATCTTCATTCAAAAAGTTGCCAACATTAATACCTAACCTAATCTTCCACTTATGATAATAAGTGGAAAAATACTTGACAGTTACTTCAAAAGCATTAATTACTTTTTAAACTTACACATTTTTTTCCCCTGATTCAGAATACAGCAGTGTCTGGTACTTTGATATAGTTACCTTTGTCTGGAACTATTTTGTTTGAGGAAACGGCGTTGTCAGATTCCTCACAGGTCTCTGACACAGAGTGAGTGAGCTCATTTTTATGGCCGTCAGCCTCCATCCCACTTGGAAGTACTTGATCATCCCCATCAGCACACTGTAGATGTTTTCTAGAGAAAATACCAAAAGGTAATATTTACCAAATAGCAGTGTATTTTATCACAACACAACTACTTCATTGCATTGGATTTCTTCCCTTTTTTCCAGTCAGAAAATTAAGCTTACTGATATAAGATACTTACACTGAATGTATTGGCCCTGCGACACTGGAACTGTTTTCAAGAACTGAAGAAAGCACTCTCCCATTCTGTCAACAAAATAAATCTTAATGTGACTAAAGAGATGAAAAAAGCTTGCATGATACACAAGTTTTAGACAACAGCCAGGTTACCCACAGAAGGTCCAAAGAGGCCCTTGACTGCTTCTCTTTCTGGCTGTGTGAACACAAAGTACTGCGTGATCTCACATAGTCCCTGCAAGTCAACACATTCATCACCAGCCTAATCATACAGACAGTGGACAGAGGAAAGAACTGTAAGGATAGTACAGGGAACAAGACATAAACCCATAGAAAAACAGGATGCCCCATCTACCATGTAGCAGAGCCACAGTCCCACTAACATCTACTACATATACCCACGTTGTGGACCACATGTCATACTGGGAGCTGTGGGAGCAATTGTACCTCCAAACTAGGCTTAAGTCTCAAAAATTATGAGCATCTATGTTGGAAGTAATAAGGGGGAAGAATTAAGATAAATCCTGCCCCTCTAGAGCAGAAGGTACTTACTACACCTGTGGAACACAGATTCTTTGCTGGGCCAAGGAGATCAATTGAGTCCAGTAAATTCTGAGAAACTCTTGAAATTATCTTATTCAAGGCTTGCAGTTGATTCTAACAAACAAAAGAAGGAAAATAATGCTGTTATTGTCATACTCTAGTATCAACTACCAATGAAAGAACTTACCAGCATTACGAGCTGACTAAATTAGTGCAGATTTTGATGTTCAGCTTCACTAAATCACAAAGATATTATTAAAAAAATACCTCAACAAGTCCTTGTGCTTGCTTGAGCCTAAGATGTCTTTGCAATTGAAACATCTGAAACTTCAGATCTTGATAATCTTTTTTTAAATGTAGGATGGTATCCTGGGCATCCATCAGTTTCAGCTTTTCTTCTTGCAAAGCCTGAGCTAGGGCTTTGTTGTTTGCTTGAAGGCTCTTAATTTTCTTGGAGTTGTTGGCTACAACACAAGAGCAAATATTTCAACTTAATTTTTAAAAAGAAAATAAAAACGTGAAAACTATTAAGACATCAAGCGTCTTACTTGCTATTTTGGCCTTTACAGTGCAGATCTGGCTAATTTTATCCAACCTCATCCATTTCTGATTTTTCCTCTCTTTCATTCGTTCTTTTATATCATCCAGAGTGTCTTTGACAGGCTTTTTCAAGTGTTCAGCCATCTTCTCCTTTAAAAATATGAAGGGTGAAGAACTCATGAAGCTGGTGACACTCAACGCTACCCAATGCCAAAAGAAAAGGAACTGAGAAACAAGAGTAAAGCTCATAGAACGGCTTGGGTTGGAAAGGACCTCAAGATCATCCAGCTCCAACCGCCTGCCACGGGCGGGGACACCTCCCACTAGACCAGGTTGCTCCAAGCCCCGTCCAGCCTGGCTTTAAACATTGCCAGGGATGGGGCAGCCACAACCGCCTTGGACAGCCTGTTCTAGTACCTCACCACCCTCACAGTAAAGAGTTTCTTAGTGATGTTTTTAAGTTGCACATATACACGCGTTAGACACCCACAAGCGTTAAAAACCACACAGACAAGACCACTTTCAAAACACTTCCTTGCAGCACGGCTACTGCCATTACGCCGGTTATCCGACTTGCAAACCGCTCGGTGCCCGCTGCGCTGTCCAGGCCGCGGGCTCTAAACGCTCGCCCTGGGGCGGCACGACGGGTAGTGAAGGGTGAAGAACGTTCCCAAGGGGCCGGCAGTGGGCCGTGATTCCTCTAACACTGTGGGCAGACCCTCCCCGATGACACACCGTACCTCCTCAGAAAAGCGCATCCACGCCAGCCACGTCCCTCGCACGGCCGCGGCTGCCCGAGCCCCGGGCGGCAGCGATACCGCCGCAGCGGCAGCCGGCTCCGCCCCGGTGCCCACCGCAGAGCCCCGGCTCTCCTCAGCAACAACCGCACACCGGCGCGCTCGGCTTCGGAGCGCCGGAAGCAGCAGAACACCCCTGACCTCGGTCAGACAGTTGACTCTCCACCACCGTTCCAAACCGCCCGCCGCTCCCTCCCATTGGTCCGACGTCACGCCCTCCCATTGGTCCGACGTGACGCCTTACGCACAGCACGGCCGCCGCGTTCATCCGCGCCTTGCTCGTAACCCCGCCCGTTGGAGGCTTCCGCTGCGCCCGGCTTGAGGCGGCAGCGGGGGTTGGGTTTTGCCGGTGGTAGTAGTCATGGCGCTGCCACCGGCCGCCCTGCGACCTGCAGGGACCTCCGCTGGGGAACGGCTCGGGGCTGATGCGCCTCATGGGCCCTGCCGTGGCTTATCCCCGGCAGGACCCGCGTCCTGCGTTCACCTGGACTACCTCAGCTGCCACAGTGGGAAGACACAGAGCAGAACAATGGCAGCAAAACTAGGAGATGAGTCGTTAACTTTCAGTGTAGCAGCAAGATGAGACTTTCCTACTCCTTCTGGACCGTGCTGCTTGTGAGCTGCGCTTCTGCTGTTGCAACTTGAAGTGAAAATAATACAAGAGCTGTAGAGATACTTTAAGACACTTGTTTTATGAAGGAAACTCTTCTCAGATGTTACCAATAAGAAGATGGCAGCTGTTGCTCTGCCAGGTTTATGGGTGGCCAGGCCATGAGGGAAGTCAAGGCTTGAGGCTGGCGTTTGCCTCTCTACGTGGTTTTCTTGGGTTATGTATCTTTTGTAACAACTGTAACTGATTAGCATATGCTAATATCTATGCATATTGACTATGGAGTATTGAGCTTTGATTAAACACTGCTTTATGATGAAACAATCAGCTAAGAAGTATCTTACTAAATAGGAGAATAAATGTTGTGCTTGTATCTGAGAAATTAGTGTTTTGTAGCTACTATGTTTTTTTTTTTCCTAACATCTACTCCTGCCTGGTTTGTTTTTATTCATTACAGCTTGGATGTGATTTGGCAAGCTGTTCTCTCTCAAAGAATTCTCATAGATCATGAGAGAAACTGTAATCCACAGTAAGTATGCAGTTAGTTATCCTTTCCTAATCCTTGGAAGGTTATTTATTTTTTGCTTTTCCAGCTCAGAACAGCTGGCCTCATCTGTGTAGTCATGTAGCTTTTTCAGTAGTGTAAATAAATGTAATTTAATCTTACTTCGTTGATAGATATTAATGAAGTTGGAGTTGCTTTTCCACTGTCAGTGAATAAATTGCCCTGCAAACACAGTTCCTTGTGCAGTGTGGCGACTCCTTTTTGAGATAAGAGATCATGTCAGAAAGAACCACAAACACATTTGATCCTCTTACTCAGTAGTGTCACACAAAACCAGAGCAACACAATTTTAGTTTCTCTTTATATCTTAAAACCTTACAGGACTGGGGGCTGGGTGGGGAGGGGGAAAGAAGAAGAAAAAGAAGAAAGTGTTTGATACTGAAAATCACATACCCAGTAAAAATCATTGTACAGTAAACCTTGTGACCAGTTCCTTCAGGCTTCACACTGTTATATAGGCAATAATGGGGTACTATCCTCCACTCAGCAGCTAACAGCCTCATCTGGGCCCTTGCAAACAGCTCTCTCTAAACATTAGTTGAAATTATCTCACTGGACTCAACTTCTGGGGGTATATTTTTGTAGGGGGTTGTTTTTGTTTTTGTTTTTTTTTTTTTTGGTTGGTTGGTCTGTGTATTTTTATTTATCTGTTTATTTATTTTCACAGGTATTCTAACCAAAGGTAATACCTTTCCCCACAAACTTTGCCTCACTTAAAGCTAGAGGTGTTTCACATTTGGCCAAGTAGCAATTGGTAGTTTCCAGCAATGCTGGTAAGGTCTTTTAGCCATTACTCATTCATTTGCTTGACACAAGCACATTGATTGTGATTAAATGAGCCATGCTTTGATTGAGAAAGAATGCTTTCCTCATTGCTAGCTAAGTGTTGCTCTTAATTACTTTTTTTTCCCCCTGAGTATAGCTATATGAAGACTAAAAAAACCCTCTTCACTTTTTTTCTTTCTATTGTATTTAATGTTACCCATGAATTTTGTTACACCTTTTTCAGAAACTTTGGGATCTTTCTGCAGAAAATATTTTGTCTTTTAATGTTGAATTTTGTTATCCCAATAATAACATTTTTACTGTTACCAAGCTGTGCTCATTTCTGCATTATTCTCACCTCAAGACAGTTGTGTTTTTATTAAATTATTTGCAGGTTACACCCTCTGTATTATTTTAATTACCTGTACTGTGGAATTCCTAGCAGTGAATTTTGCTAGCTCCACTGGCTCCTTGCTGTAAGCAATTTCACGTTTTCCTCTGTGAAGATTGATGCAGTGATTGATGCCAGGGATGCTTTAGATGGTTAATTTATTTCTAGCAAGCGTACTCATGTGGCAAACCAGCTGCTACTGTGACTGGAGATGGAGCATTAAAAGATTTGCTCTCATCTTGGGTTTACTGGTTTACATTACAAGGAAAGGGTTGCTTCGTCTAATTACAGCAAATTACAGGAATTGGAGCTGTGATTGTGGGAGCATTTGAGATACTTCTTGTCAAAGTTCAAGTCCGAGTGTGATGTTACATGCTTATGTCCAATGCATTCTTTAGTGGTTGATGTAAAGAGCTTAAATTTGGGAAGTTGTTGTTTTTCCCAAATAAATAAGATACCAGATATGCAGTCTCTCATGGAATGTTAATTAGTTGCTTTTACTGCTACCAATATCAAAGTCTTAAATGGAATTTTAGCTTCTTTAGGGGATGCTTATGAGAAGTATTGATAATCCAGTCCATGCTGGAAAATATTTTTAAAGCTCCTACTGGTTTCAGTGACAGGTTAAATTTGCATGGCGGCTCTATAAGGACAGATGATTAGACTCAATAATCATCTACTTTGAGTATCTGTCACTCATTTTTTGGTGACAGAAGAGCAGCCATGATACAATGAGCAATGGCAAGTTTTTGTTGATGCAGGCAGCTGGATGACCTCAAGATACCCAACTTAAATGTCCTACCCATCTTCTCTGCTGCCCCATGTCCAGCCCTCCATCAGGCAAACATGGTGATGATGTGTACACCTCTGGTTTTAACCATAAGAGTAGCTCACTTAGGTTAGGGTAGTAGATAAGACTCATATTTCACTACCTCTGTCAAAACAAGATACAGAGGTGGAAACCACAATATATGCATTCTGTGAGGACAAAAGAGGGTAAGAGTATACAATATATTGTTACATTAATACTGTAATTAATACTTAGAGGACACCCTTAAAAGCAGCTCTTGCACACTACCAGAATTTCCTTTCTTTAGCTGCTTAGCAGTGCACAAGACTGTCATGCTTTCTGTTACCTTTGGAGTTAAGTCAACCTTCTTCTGATTTCTTGTGACTTGCACACTTAGGCTACCTTGCAGTACTTTTCTCCTTGATCATCAAATGGTTCATTTGTGAACTGCCTTCAAACTGTTCAGTTCTAATCTGTTTTGAGCAGGACATGGGTATCTTGGAAGGGTCATATGAGGTGTCTTAAGAATATTTGGTATGTGGGAGCTGTGGGACTGTAAGATGCTGATGCACCCACACTGCTTCCCTGAAAGCAGTAAAGTAGCACATTTTTTGAAGAAGCTGGCACAGGCTTCCGTCAGCAAAATGGTCTTGTACTAACTTGACCAAGTTTGGCTGAAGAATCCTGCAGAAATAATGAGCTGAAAAGATTTTGACAGGTAGACAATTGGTATTTGCCCTTCAGTAAGGTTAAAAAGAATTGTGAGCATCATCTGGCAGTCATTATTTTTATGTATGTCCATATGTGCTGATTCTTTAACGTTTCAGAAAAATTTGTCAAATTAGACCAGTAAACTGCTAAAGTTCAGACCACTTCTATTTTAGAATATGTTACTAGTAGTGTATTCTCTATTCTAAGTTATCCGTAGCTAATTCCTAATTTCAATTTTTATATTTTTCTTTCTCAGAAATACTTTTTCTATTCAAAACTGAAACCACATAGGTAAGAGGAAAACAGGCATGAGTTAATTGAAGCATGAGACCACAAGTGTTTCATTAAGCTAAAGTTAATAAGCTGTAAATCAGCATACCTACATTAATTGTATCTGTGTCATTTTGATGTACATATATATTGTAAAATGTTTTCAATTATTAATCAGTTTTATATAAGTAAGGAGGTGAAAGATTAATAAGTATCTTGATTGTTCATGAGAGAGATTCCAGAGAGGAGAATATATGCAGTGATTATTACGTGGGTCAGATACAGCTATCCGTTTCACTATAGACATAATTTATTATAAGTACTATGATAAATACTTGTCCCAAGTTGTCACAAAATCTTTGGTTTCAGTGCCAGGGAAATTCCCAAATCTCAGAAGGGTGTCTTAATCCCATGGCAATATTGCAACAATATAAGTACCAATCTGAAAATTTGAAACTGCATGAGTACAATGGGCAAAGAAGGAATCACGAGTCAATAAAGATTATATCAATATTTAACATTTTCTCAATGTATCCACTGACTATCTTCATTTCATTATACCTTCTGTGTCAGTTGATTAAAACCTAGACTTTCTACAATATGCAGCAGTTCTCAAGCATGCAGTCAGAAGCAACCTTCAGCCTGCTGAATTTTCTACCCCCAAAACTCATGGGGGGTCTCCCTGAAGTGAGACTGATCATTGGTTCTGGTTTCCAAGTGGCTTTAAAGTTTGTTTAACTGTTGAATGGAATATTTACTGACAAAATTAGGGTTTTTTTTTGCTTATAGCGTTTGTGTAAATGTGTGGCTTTCCACCAGTTATTACCC